CACGCACGCACGCACGCACGCACGCACGCACGCACGCACGCACGCACACACACACACACACACACACACACACACACACACACACACACACACACACACACACACACACACACACACACACACACACACACACACACCTGCAGAGAGCTTCACCAGGTACTTTGATACTGATGTTGAAGTTGCGTTTTCATCTCCGACGATGTAGAGAGCAAAACTCTGAGGAACAAACACAGAGATCATCAGCTTCACTCGTTTCTATCTGTGGAGCAGAAGATTTCTACAGCTGCAAAACATTTACGACACATATTCATCCATGTTCATATATATATATATATATATATTCATACACGCGCATTTGTTTATTTCACATGCACAGAGAAGGTGAACTATGTTGTGATTTAATGTGAAGCGTCTCATCAACCCAACATGTGATGCCTTCAGCTTGTTTACGACTCTTCTGCTACATTCTGTACTCTCTGTCCACATGTACAGTCGTCATCACCTCCGTCATCCTCCAGAGAAACAACACCCCCGGGTATAATTGCTCTTTATGTTCAGAGAAATAATCCGACATGCTACAGAAATAAATGGTTGGCCTGCGTGTCAATCAGAGCTGAACTCTTCACCCTCACTGCCTCCGATCTGAAGGCAGCTGGAGGATCAACGTTTTAAATAGACAGAAGCTCATCAAAGTCCAGAACAGAACGTCAGCGCGGAGCTTTAAACCGCTCTTCACTAAGCTCATCCAGAGGAGCAACGGAGCAGAAGAGTCCCGGATCAGCACAGAAGAAGAAAGGGAGCAACTATAACTGTGAGATCCTGATCACGTGTTTCTACCACCGATACTAATGTCAGATCATTGATCCATATTCACAGATTCAGATCTCTTTGGTGTTTGATCTTAGCAGCTGGTCTACAAGGATCCAGACCACCGTCCCACAAATCATGTTAACGCTCTGAAGTCAGTAAAACAACAACAATACTAAATGTTGTCTTTCTACTGAAGACACAAAGCATGTAACCGTTTCCTTTTGTTTCTACCTTTCTATTCTGTCCGTCTCTAAACTATCAAATCAAGAGAAACAAAAGACAGAGACTTAAAGAGTCGTGACCATGTCAGGCCAGTACTCTGTTCTGTTCCACTCTGCACGCTGTGTCTGATCTCCAGATGAACTCGGTTCTTGGTCACACGTTAAAGGAAGTGATCAGAGAAACATTAAGACTTCAGCTGGTACCAGAACCAGCAGCCTGGTCCTCGTACAGATGCCGGGCAGGCAGGGGAAAGGCGGGCTCTCCTCTCCTCTCAGGCAGCCGCTGAGCCAGCTGAGCACACAGGGAGGCTCCGCCCTCAGGAAGGACGGACGCTGCATCTGACCAATCAGAGCTGAGGAGAGAAGGAGCCAAGAAATGAGAGTTAACTGTGAGGACATAAAGCACAGACACACAACGCCTCTAACGTATCATCGTCTGTGTTTGTGAATCATAGGTACAACAGTAACTGATGTATTTACGCCTAGATGACGTTGTTTCTTTAAGTGCTGATGGAGCAGCTACAATGATAAGATAATCCTCCACTAGTCCCACAGAGGGGACATGTACAGGATTACAGCAGCATAGAGCACAGTGCTAACAAGAGACACTCAACGAGCTCTCATCGTAGCTACAAACACTAACAGGGTCAGAGGTAAAGACCCCCCGACATGAAGCGGCCTTCCTCGTCACGTGTAGTCCGGTTCCTGACCTGAGACCGTGATATCAGACTCACTCTGGTCTATGACGCAGCTCTCAGTGAAGCCACGGATCAATGACGGGTAGTCTCTCCAGTACAGATCCACATACTCGTCCAGCTGGAGGTCTCTGCACACAAAGAAAACACTTTATTAAATATATATTAGTATTTATGTGAGATATAATAATAATAACTTTGTTTATAGCTCCTTAAAAACAGAGTTTACAAAGTGCTTTGACAGACAAAACAGCAAAAGTGAGACAATAACAACAACAGGAAGTTCAGAGAGACAGTCGATACAAATAGACTAAGAAATAAATTACATTTAATTTTAATTTAAAAAAAATACATACATATACAATATAAACATACAATGCAATAACAATCAACTAAGAAATACATTTAATTAAAAAAATTTCAATTTTGTAAAATAATTTGGTAAAATCAACAAACAGAAATCAAACAGAAATCAAACAGAAATGACTACGGTAGAGTCTGGTGGACTTGAAGAGAGAGAAAGAGTCGGTCAGCGAGGTAAAGAGGTGAAGATATTCTAAGTACAGCATGAGGCATTCCCCCAAAAACCTGGTTCTAAATGAGTAAAACCTGGAGTATGGATTAGGTCAGGAGTCATCTGCTACCAGTACTTTCTTAGTTCTGGAGTGAGACGTCTACATATATCTATATCTATCTATATCTATAGATCTAACTCCACTTCTAAACATCAGTACTGTCCCTTTAAGAGCTCGGCCTGCAGCAGGACGTTGAATCACTTCTAAAACGTCTCCTCTGTGACATTTAACTTGTTTCTGATCACTAATTAAAACACACGTCTGTGAGTAATTAACAGACGTGAGTCATTACATCAGATGATCAACAGTTCTTAATCCATCTCAGACTCACACACACATTTCAGCTGTGTGCGCGTGTGTGTGTGTGTGTGTGTATGTATATGCGTGTGTGTGTGTCCGTGTATATGCGTGTGCGTGTGTGCATGTATATGCGTGTGTGCGTGTGTGTATGCGTGTGTGTGCGTGTATGTATATGCGTGCGTGTGTGTGTATGTGTGCGTGTATGTATATGCGTGTGTGTATGTATGTGTGTGTGCGCGTGTGTGTGTGTATGCATGTGTGTGTGTATGCATGTATATGCGTGTGTGCGCGTGTGTGTATATGCGTGTGTGTGCGTGCATGTGTGCGCGCGCATGTGTGTATGTATATGCGTGTGTGTGTGTGTGTGTGTGCGTGCGCTGATGAAGGACAGCAGGGATCACTGATGTTGGATTGAACTGAATGTAGAATAATAACCACGAGTTAAACTAATGAACTGATCAT